GTTGCACGTCTGTTTGCACAATAATTCTTTTTAAAGACCTTTATTATTATTGTTATTATTATAAATTAAATTACATCTACAGATATCTGTGCTACTGCAGAATTTATTACTTTGTGCAAATGGGTGATTTTAAAAGTGGACCACCAAAACATCACCAGAAATTCACTATCTTTATAATGAACAATGAAGAATGGAACAGTTTAACCAAATGCATGGTGAAGGTTATTAGTTTAGTGCTTGATGGTCAATGCCTACTGGTCTGTGGTTGCCCTGATCATGTGCAGATTCCTCCCAAGTCCTCAGAGTCAAAACAACTGAGTGACTCTTATAAGCTAAAACAAGAAATGTCTCAGCCTTGTCAACGAAAGATTAATTCTAATATGCTTATAACAAATTAATGTTAAAAAGAGGAGTCAAAAACTAATATATATTAACTTGGATGAAAAAGAGAGTTAAAAAATTAAGAACTTGAATTACCGGAGGATTCAGAGGAATTCCCAGTCTGGGAACTCTGATCCACATACAAAATAGTATTAATACCAGTTTTACCTAACTGAACAACCTTTCCCAGATTTTCAACAGACCTTTCTAGTTTACAATGCACCTCTTTGACTCGTGCCTGAGAAAAGTTACCATTCTCTTCTAATTCTCTACAAAGGGATTTTAAATTTTCCCTTTCTTCTTCCACTTGTTGCCAGTGTTCCCTCATTTGACACACCCTTGTGTAAATCTCTTGTCGTTTCGCTTTCTCTTCCACTAGACAACCTTCAACACAAAGACGCAAGTCTTTTTCCAGTGAGAAGTGTTTTTGAAGCTGCTTCACTTCAGACGTGGCATCAAGAAGCTGCACTTCTATCTTGTGAGCTTGATGTTGGCATTCCTCCAGAGCTTTTCTGTCATTTTCTGTGTTCGGATAATTATTTTCTCTCTTCCATTCTGATATTGCTGTAAGAATTTTCCTTCTTGGACCAAACAAATAAATTCCAACTTCCTTAAGGTCACTCTCTGTGAGAGTTAGTAGTGTAGTAAAATCCACATCTTGTTCTTCAAATGTGGGAATATATTTTGTCAATTTCAATTCATCAAGAAAGTTTGCAATACTCGGTTTTGTAAGTGGAGCTTCCTCAGCTTGAAGTTGGGGGCTTCTACTGGCATCACTTCCAGAACTATGCATTTTTTGTAGCTTTTTATGCAAGCTAGCACTTTGAACAGTTCTGCCACAGTTAATGAAAAAGTGCTCAGATTCATAACTACCAACAGGAGTGCCTGGTGTATTGGCTAAACAGTATGGACTTCCAACAAAATGGCCTGCCCTTTCCTGTTCCCCTGTCGTACTAGGAATATTCACTGGCTTTCTATCATTCTGATGACTGCTCATCAACTTTTTAAAGGCCTCTGGTCCATCTTGAATCCCAATGTTTGGGATTACATTCTTTTGTTGCCATGCACAAACCTTATCTTCAACGTTATCACTATAATCAGGTACAAGACCAGGTTCACTTCGCAGCATGATGTTTGGCAAATTGAGAAAGGCCTGCTGATTTATTATGTTTACTACAGTCATGTTCCCATTCTGCAGGGCTAAAGATTGTGCATCCTCTCCACGGTTTGTGTGAGCAGTCATGTTTGCATTGCTTCTAACAAGTTCTTCAAAGATGACTTCATGTCCCTCTTTTGCAGCTGCCAGCAATGGAGTCAGGCCTAACCTATATTCCCTACAAAGAAGGAGAAAAACAATTAGTCTCATTCAATACCCTCTGCATCAGGATGATGACAAAAAAAAAAAGAAAAAAAAGAAAGAACCTCAAAAACATTTCATCCCAGGGAGCTGTGTTTAGTTCTTATTAACTGAGCTAGATCGGTCTGTATGGGAGAATCTTGACCTCGGTCGCTGGTACAGACCTCACTGCATTCAGTTTATTATATGGCTGTGTCTTATATGCCAATTTTTTATATTCTTTTTACCTTTTTTTCTAGACCAGTCTAGATGCCGGTCTAGATGGGAAAATCTAGACCGCTTTCAATATTGTTTTCAGCCAATCAAATTCATGAATTCTGTAGTTCCCAGTCCTTGTGAGACACAGCCATATAATAAATTATTGAGGTACCTATCATCATAATTTTTTAATCATTATTGTAATTTCTCTCTACACTATCACCCCTCAATGACACATTTAGGTCACAGGAATAAAGGAAACGATAACCAACTAAAGAAGCTCTTGATTGTTGAAGAAATTCTCCTGATCAGCACCTTAGGAAACGTATGAAGAATACACTGAGAAAATTCATTCTGAAGTACCAGTGTAATGGGTTAAAAAATCATCTCCATGCTTTTTTGTATTGTCTTGTTGTTTTTCCCAGAGCAATTGCAGAATACCCGGCCACCTCATTTACCTGTGTCGGGAGGTTTTGAAGAACGAAGCATAACACAATAGAAGCTATTCTTATTCAATAACATTTAAATGAGTGGCCGGGTATTCTGCAATCTAGCCTTTTTCCCTGATCATTGATCATCACTTTAAAAATTTATAATTATCTGCTTTCATGGAAGATTGTCCTGAAGTAAATAAGGTTCAAACTTTCCAATAGTTTAATTCATTAGGGCAGTATTAGTTTTAATTTTTCTTCAATCGCGAGCAAGAAAGATAACAAAAGAAAAATGTGATTATTTAAGAGGTTGAAATAATTTAAAATGAAGGAAGTACTGAAAACCTTAACTCCTTGTCAGCCCCGTTCTCTAACAACAACTGTACAACCTTGTGATGTCCTTGGTACGTTGCATAAAACAAACCAGTCCATCCTCTCTTGTCTTGAGCATCGATCTTAGCACCCTTTTGTAGCAGGAAGTAAACAACAGATTCGTTTCCACAACTTGCAGCAAGCATAAGCGCGGTGGCCCCATTCTTTGCTGTAATCGCGTTCACATTAACATGGCAGTCAAGGAGAAGATTAACTATATTGTCGTGGCCAACATAAGCAGCATACATCAAAGGAGTCCATCCACTACAATTGGGTCTATCGAGATCGGCTAACTCCACTCCATCTGCTAGATGTTGCCGAACACAACTGTATTCACCGATAGAACAAGCAGTGTAAATGTCCATTGGAATGACTTCGTCCTCGTTCCATAGATTACTACATGTACAGTCGTTTACATCCGTAAAACTCGCCGAGCGTTCGGCACGGCCATAAATGTTTTCGTTTGGCGCCTCCATTTTAAGTATAGCTTGAAAAGAATGAAAGTAACCCTTTAATAATTATTTCAATAACTTTCTTCGGCACCTGTGGCAGAAGAAAGTAGCTGTATGACGAAGCCGTGACATGCGCATGACCTGCACAATCTTTTTCACGAACATTCCATCGTTGCGTGACAGCTGGGATATTTTACGTTCTTCCGTTCCCTCAACAGTCTGAATACTGCAAATACACCAGAAAAATACCTCTGGTTTCTTTTTGCAGCTATTCATCTATATCAAAATATACGAGAAAAGAATGACCACTGATCCTGGGTTTTTTAATTATCTGGCTAGAAATAAACATTAACAAAACCCCACTGGGACATACGCTTCAGTCTCACTCAGAAATAGAAACATCGTCAAATTATATTCTGCTTTTGTGCTTTTGTATTGTCTTTGCTCTAGTGATAGTTCTCACTAGGACTGCCTTCTATTTTTTTCCTTTTTTTTTTTTTTATAATTTAAGAATTTAACTCACACATTGTGATATATGCCACCTTTTTTTATAAAGTCTACCAGGAGCCCATCACTATATGCCCGGTATGGACAAATTACGTACGTTATTTACACAAAACACATGCAAACTTAATAATTTGCGGACAAACTTAACAGAAAGCCGGCAAACTTAATAAAATGTACGCAAACTGTAAAACGCGCTAACAAACTTAATAAAGGACATGCAAACTTATCAAAATGCGTACAAACTTAGCAAACTGTGTACACATTTTAGGACAGGCAAGTAAACTTTAAAAATAGCACGCAAAGTTAAAATGAAACGAATTCAAACTAAAAATGAAAAGCGTACAAAGTTAATTTTAAAAACACAAACTTATAATGAGACACGCAAACATAATAAAACGCGCACAAACTTAATATGAGACGAACAAACTTAAAATGAAATGCACAGTAACTTGAAATGAAACGCCTACAAACTTAAGAGTAAACACGCACGCTAACTTAAATTATAACATAACCAGAGTAAAGCGCGCGCTCTGATTGGTCAATTTAGCGTCCCCT